GTAAGCATGCGACGTACATCGTACGGGCGTACATAGTACCTATAACACAGAAAATTCATAAAACTCATGAAGTGAACCACGTAACTCCTAGCCAGAAATACGACCCCCCCTTTTGGCGGCCAAATACGACCCCCCATAGGGAATCCCCATCGAACGCTGTGCCCTGAACCACCAGCGTATTGCCAGTAACTCTAGAGGACACCCGTATGAGAGCGACCATATGCCTCCACGACTCAAATACCGCAACGAGCACCTTGCACCGTTTCGGCAATGTGAATCAAAAAAATCGTTTGTGAGTCCTCTAAATGTTCTCTCCGTGTACCACTCCTTCAGTACAGCGACAGTTTTAGTAGTCTGCTCCAAGAGTATGTTGTCTCTTTCTTTGCACTCAACCCTCTAGGCTGCATTGTTGTCCACTTAAAAACCAGGTGTTAAAACGATTTTTTCCAACTAGATCGGCACACAAGATCGGTAAGGTATAGGTCTTCTGGAAGCTGACTAAGGTTATGTCCCCCAAGAAGGTCAGCAAGCAGAAGCGGCCATCTGCAAGTAGGTGAGCAACCCAAACATCTTGACACGCTGGAGTCAAAACTGCCTCCAAAAAAGGTGTAATTACTTTTTGAAAATCCAAAAGTTTTTCTCAGCAATACTTTAGATGTTACCCCTTCGAAACATCCTTAGGTAAAGCATCAGGCATGTATGGAAGGTGACAACACAGTGTAGTTCGATGCGACGCCGGTGCGCCGAATCGGATCTAACGTTCGGTTTTACGAGGACATTGGCGTCATGAATTGCTACAAAACCAGCAGTTATCACTGCAAAAGAAATTCTTTTAAATTTTATTCAGGAATCATCTTTGTGAGCTCACGTAGATTTCATTTCCATGCATAGCAGATAAGTACAAATAATATGTCATTAGCAACAGGCTTACTTTCACCTGCAAGGCTTCTGACACTTGTAATGAGATGGAAGGAGGTAGCTCCTATGTTACTGAAGGGTAGTAATGACATGCAGAAGGTAGCTCCTACATTACTGATGGGGATCTGCTTCTTAAAGACAGCCCCCGCGCTCGAGTAGTACATGGTCGTCCTTCCTTGTGCAAGTAGTACAGCCCCCAAGCTAGAGACTGTCCCACTCTATTCGTCTGCACAGCGAGCGAGAAGCGAGCTACAGCCGCTGTAAGTTCTAGTTCTAACGCCTGCTCAGTTGGACCGCCTTACTTGCTAGATGTCGAGGCCACTCAGTTGTTCTTAGTCGGGGCGGCGGGCATTGCTAATGCCCATGGATAATTCTGCTCCCCTTTATTACAGTTTACTCATTGGAGGTATATACATTCAATTCAACTCATTTCGCGAGGTGAAACGCGTAAAAAGCACGAGTGACGCAATTTTATTTATTTATTTATTTATCATGCACGCACGGGTGCGCTACATTATGAGCGAAACAGATAAGTTACAAAACAAATCGACACAAAGAAAAATAACGAGAACATCAACAAACTTGGCAACACAAATACTCACAAGCGGAGACCGTCCAGACCCTAAACTTTCAAAAATCTTGAGATTTGTGAGCTAGGGGTTGCACAGAGACCGCAGGGAGGTGTGACTGTGAGGGAGCGATTTTGTTTATGTTGTTCTGGAGAACGCTTCTTGCCTGTTTTCTTCTTTGGGAGATTACTTATCAGCTGCTGTTTCATAATTGGAAAGCAGCTATCCATGAGACTTTTATCGCGGGAGCTGTCTTTAAGCTATCTCGCTGAGCAAAAGCTGAAAAAACGCGAAAGAGTAAATAACATAGCCAGACTTTAACAAATATGTTTGTATCATGGGCTCTAGAGGAGGATGAGTTTCTTTTCTTTGGGAACACCGAATCGAGTTTTGTGCTGTTCAAAGAGATCTATTAAGGCGTCGCAGTACTGACGATGGAGCCTATTCCACTTCTTCATCAGTCGGTTCGAGCTTCTTCGGAACGTCTATTGGCGCTCCAATAACTGTGTCAGTCTTCGTCCGATGAGGCAGAAATCCGAAGTTCAACTGAAATCATACTAAAGGACTACCTTAGAAACTTAACTACCACAGAATTACGGCAAAGCATCAGTAGGATCGTCGGGACAAAAACGATTTCGATACTCTTAAGAGTGCAGTGCATTACTAGAAGATATTCAAGAGGTCCCTTTACCACGGAACTGGATGCTTTCTTCTGAAAATGTGATGCATCATGTAACAATTTGGAAGCGTCATAAATCGGAAGATCTGCAGGGAAATGAAAGAAGTAAAGAAAAAGAAAAGCAGTGTGTACTAATGAGAAGCACACTGAACCTCAAAATACCTTCAAAATAAGAAAGTAAAGCAAGTAACGTTTCCGCAAAATTCTGCCTCCAGCACTTCTTGCTGTGAGCGTTAGCTTTTT